AAAAATAGATCAGACATAACAATTTTAACATTTTAGCAGCTAAATATGTCTGCTAACTTGGGACGGTTTAAGGGATAGTAATTGTGTTTCAATTTTCGTGATATGAAGATATCACTTTATTTTTTATTTTTTTAACAAAATAAAAAATAAATTTAAAAAAATTAAAAAATAAAAAACATAACTTGTTCAAATCAAACTAAAGTCATATATTTTGTAATTTTATGTTGTGAATATTACCAATATATTTTTTAGTAATCTTTTCTACTTATTAACTTAAAAACATCTATATAAATTATTAGGATAAACTATATTAATAATTCTTTAATTGTTAAAAAATACCATTTATATCTGTTACTAGCTGATTTTGCTATTGCATAATAATCAATAATAAATTCAATTGTAAATTAGAAAATAATAGATAAAAAATTGAATATAGAGTAATTTTGACAATAGGTAATTTGTCAGCTACTTTTACTTGAGAAATATGATATAGTTTAGTATGCTTATTGTTTTTATATTCACAGTTTCTTCTTTAAACACATCAGCAGCTTCTTCTTTTTCTTATTGGCAGCTTCTTCTTTAGTTTTATTAACAAATTCATTTACTTCATCACTTTCATCATTAGTAATATCTCTAACTTTACTTTTAATTTCATTCTTAATATTTTGTATAAGCTCAAAAATATAGGAATTATTGTCTTTAGCATTGTTATCCATATTTATATTGTATTCTTGATATCTAGAAATAGTATTAAAGTGGTATATAAAAAAGAAAGTAAGTAAATAACAAATAAATAAATTATAATGATTGTAATTTGAGATCTCAAGCCTAGTGCCCATTAACCCTTCCTAGCAAAGTACAAAACCTACAAGAAAGAAAAAATAAGTTAGTAACAATACCAAAAAATGAAAAAAGTAAAAAAAATATGAACTAGTATTTATCTTGATATCTAGTTCAAGGTTTGAGATCTCAAGCCCAGTGCTTATTAACCCTTTCCAGAAAAGTACAAGATCTACAAGAAAGAAAGAATAAGTTAGTAACAACACCCAAAAATAAAAAAGCAAAATAATATGAACTGGTACTTATCTTGGTACCCAGTTCAAGTTTCAAGATCTCAAGCTTGGTGCCTATTAAACCTTCCTGGAAAAGTACAAAACCTACAAGAAAGAAAGAATAAGTTAGTAACAATACTAAAAATAAAAAAGCATAAAAATACAAACTGATACTTATCTTGGTACCCAGTTCAAAATTCAAGATCTCAAGCCTGGTGCTCATTAACCCTTTCTGACGAAGTACAAAATCTACAAAAAAGAAAGAATAAGTTAGTAACAACTTATTTCGCAGGATTATTTGGGATTATTAAAATTCGTCGCTTTTATTATCTATTTGTATATCGTTTAGTAACAAATGGATATATGAAATCTTGTAAACCCTAGAACGAATATGTGCATAAAAAAAAGTATGGCAACCAATCAAATGCACGAACCTGTTTGTAGATCCTTCTAGAACCTAATTTTCAAATTTGATATATTCTCGGACTGTAGTTCCAGATTTGAGATCTTAAGCCCGGTGCCTATTAAACCTTTCTAGCAAAGTACAAAACCTACAAGAAAGAAAGAATAAGTTAATAACACTACCAAAAAATGAAAAAACAAAAAAATACAAACTGGTACTTATCTTGGTACCCAGTTCAAGGTTTGAGATCTCAAGCCCAGTACCTATTAACCCTTCCTGGTGAAGTATAAAACCTACAAGAAAGAAAGAATAAGTTAGTAATAATACCAAAAAATGAAAAAGCAAAAAAATACAAACTAGTACTTATCTTGATACCCAGTTCCAGGTTTGAGATCTCAAGTCTAGTGCCCATTAACCCTTCTCGATAAAGTACAAGACCTATATAAAAGAAAGAATAAGTTAGTAACAATATCAAAAAATGAAAAAGCAAAAAAAATATGAACTAGTACTTATCTTGATACTCAGTTCCAGGTTCAAGATCTCAAGCCCAATACCTATTAACCCTTCTCAGTGAAGTACAAGGCCTACAAGAAAGAAAGAATAAATTAGTAACAATACCAAAAAATGAAAAAGCAAAAAAAATATGAACTTATCTTGGTATCTAGTTCAAGATTCAAGATCTTAAGCCCAGTGTCCATTAACCCTTCCTGGCAATATACAAAATCTACAAGAAAGAAAGAATAAGTTAGTAACAATACCAAAAAACAAAAAAGCAAAAAAAATATAAACTGGTACTTATCTTTGTATCTAGTTTTAGGTTCGAGATCTCAAGCCCAGTGCTTATTAACTTTTCCTGGTAAAGTACAAGACCTACAAAAAAGAAAGAAAATATTAGTAAAAAGACAATAAATAAATCAAAAAAATCAAAAGTAAAAAAAAAAACTAAATAAAAAAAAAAAATTAAATAAAAAAAAAAAACCAAATAAAAAAAAAGATCAAATAAAAAAAAAGAAAAAAAAAAGATCGAATAAAACTAAAATCAAAAAAAATTGAAATCAGAAAAAAATTTAAGATCAAAAATAAAGTCAAAAAAAAATAAAGCTAAAAAAGCAATGATCAAACAAAATTAAATTATCATTTGTAGCATTTAATTTAAAGTGTATATTATATATTGATTGATAATACTTAATTGAATAGTAGCATTTAAATAAATTTATTAATAATCAATATTTATATAAATATTGATACATATCTAATTATCGAATTATATCAATTTTGGATATATATCAAGTAATAACAGGTTTATCATTAAATTACAAGTGATATTTATTGATAAAGTGTTATATATCGATTAATATCTTATAAAAAAGTTTTCTGATGAAGTTAATAAATTTATTAAGATAAAATATTTTAATTTTCTAAAAATTTAATATTTTAAAAATAAGCTATTTATAAAATTTTTGTATAATTTTTGCTAAAAATAATCATTTATTTTAAAAAATATATAGTAATAGTTATATATAATAATATAATAAAAAAATTAAAAATTTAAAAAATATAGAATTAAATTAAAGTTAATTATTCTTTAAATTATAGACCAACACAAGCAAATTTGCCTATTTTAGTACTATAAATATACTACTAATTTATTTTTTAATAATTTAAGGGTAGATGGTATGTAGATTATTTTTCATATAATTATCATGTGCTTTTAAAAATTTGCTATAAAATTGAAAGTTGTCACTAATAAAACTTTTGCAAATTACAATTAATTTTGATCAAATTT